CAACACATTGCGTACGAGCCGATGTCCCGAGGGGGACAAGGTCAGACTCGCTTCCTGTCTTCTAAAGGACACAGCGAGGGATTGGTGGGAAGATATTGGTCATGCTTTGGGTGATGATGCCGCGTTGGACGCGATGACATGGAGTGATTTTTCAGCCAGGTTCAAGGCTGAGTTTTCACCGATTATTGAGGTGCAGTAGTTAGCACGGGAGTTTCAGGATTTGACGCAGACTACTGAGACTATGGCGGAGATCACCTCCAAGTTTAGGGAGAGGTCCCTTCTTGTTCTGCAGTATGTCGCAGATGAGGAGATGAAGAAGGCCCGATATCAAGAGATGTTGAGGGATGACATCAGGCGGTTTGTGAGTAGGTCCAGCTGCAAAACATTGGAGGATATGATCGCGCAAGCCAGAGAAAGGGAGATTGATTTGGAGCAGATCTGGAAGACGAAGTTGGATGAGATTCAGATAGTCACGGGTTCGGGAAAAAGGCCCAAGGGGTCAGACTCGAGATCGAGGGATTACCAGAGTCGCAGCCGATTCGGAAGGTGGGGTAGTACGCACGAGGGTGCGTGCAAGAGTGGTAGTGGTCGAGATTTTGGCTGCTTCAAGTGAGGCCGGATTGGTCATTTTAGCAGGGATTGTACTGCTACCACCGCACAGGCATCAGACTTGATATGTTTTCACTGCAACCAGCGGGGCCACAAGAAGGCCTAGTGCCCCCAATTTGTTTCCGACAGGACGGGTGATGGAACCTGTCCCTGTAACTTTGAGGATCACAGACGGCCGTCAGGGCTGAGCAGAGGCGCCTGCGGTAGGAGGCAGATCTTTTCAGATGACTACCTTGGAGACGCGAGCAGCGTCGGACGTTGCAGGTATGCGACTTCCATTTTCAGTTCTTTTATTTGTGCATGATTATATTGTTATGGTTCTGCATCATTATCGGTATGAGTATTTTATTTTTGTACGGCTTGCTTGTGATCGAGTTATATGTCATCTGCATACCTTGGACATTTGAATGGTAGTTAAGGGATGGGCTCTATTGGAGAAGGTTACTTAGGATGCAGTAGTTGTAGCATGCCTGGGAGGGAGTTGGTATGTCCTGCTAGTTCGAAGCCGTATAGTTTTAGAAATGGACTGGTTAGATCGCTAGCTATGGTAAGCTTGGGGTTCCTCAGCAGATTGATTATGGAGTGGTAGCAAGGATTAGGATTTCTTTTCGAGCATTGGGCAGCGAGGTGTAAGCAGAATCGAAGTGGGGGAGAATCCTCCGAGTGTACAAGGGTAAGAGCATGCAGATCCAGAATGAGTATACGGTCTCTGAGAAGGAAAGGAAGTGGCACAACGTTTGATGGAGTGAGGATTTCAGGGTTGGGAGTTTGAGAAACTCCCCATCAGTTAGTGCGTGTAATGGTGATGGTTAGTACGTGATTGGGAATTCAGGTTGAAGGACCGCCTGTAGGACTCGAGTGAGTCGGAATAAAGATCTTGAGTACTAATAGCATGGGGGTGCTTTCGTATTAGCGGTCAGTGGTGGAAATTGTTGTAAGACTACGGGGAAGCCGTAACATTCACTAGCAGTCAGAGATGGAAGGTGTTGTAAGACTACGGGTAAGCCGTAGCATTCCATAGTAGCTTCATTAGCGGAATTGGGGCGAGACCCTTATCTCCTAGTGATCAAGGAAGGGATCAAGAATGGGTAGCAGTGAGAATAGTAGGGAGCTTGCTTGTATAGCCCTAGAAAGGTGAGACCTTGGGAGAGGCCGCTCCAGGATGTAGTTGGGTGAGGCCCGTATGAGAGTAGCAGTATAAGTGAGACTTGAGAGCAGGGTTGCTCAGTAGTATGGGTGGGTGAGACCCGTGGGCGAGGTCCGTGCGAGAGGGGTTAGAAAAGTGATACTGGAAGGATAGAGGCGGGTGAGACCCGTGGGTGAGGCCCGTGAGTTTTAGTAGCACAAGTGGGACCTGGTAAGAACCTTAGTGTCAAGATAGGGGATCGAGGATTGACATGTGTATTTATATATATATATATATATATATATATATATATATATATATATATATATATATATATATATATATATATATATGCACTTTATCTTAATATTTTGGCCTTATTTATTCTATTTTGGAACTAAAAAGTACTCATAATGCTTTGAATTATGTTTTGCAACTATTCGTTGTTGATAAAGCACAAAAGAAAAGACTAAAGTGGAAATCGGACTTAGGAGTTAAAAGAAATTAAAAATGCTGAAGGAGTGGATTACGCCCCACGTAACTTCGCATTACGCCCAGCGTAGTGCCCAAAATCACCGTACGCCCCGCGTGATTAAAGGGTACGCGTCGCGTACTGGTTGGTCTTGGATAACTTCAATCGCATGTAAATCTTGACTACGCCCCGCGTAATCCTATGTACGCCCAGTGTACTTAAGTCGGCTACAAAGGCTATAAAAGTCGATTTTCAGCTAACCAAGAGGGGGGATTCGACTTCTAACCTAATTTAGTCGATAATTAACTTCGGTTAAGCCGTTTTGAGGGTCTAGAAGGCGGTCGGAAGGCCGTTAAGCTAACGGGAGCGGAGATCGGAAGGGTTGGAGAGCGAATACATGTCGGTAATCATATGGGCTGTTAATGTGACCATGTTTAGCATTCCATTGTGTTACTATTCTGTATTTAGTTTCTGACTTGGGTGTAAAAACCTTTTACTTTGTGTTTATGATTGAATGAAGCTTTGATTATTAGACTAATTGCTATATTGAATAGTTTGCTTGTGTTTAATTTATCTTGCCAAGCTTGTTAAAAGATCCTTACGTATTAATGATAATTATGTGTTGTTAATTGTTATGCGAATTGAGTTGTATGAACAAATGCTTGATTGCTTGTCTCTTATGATTTTGATCACCATCAAGATTATAAGTCTAGGAATAACGAATGTGAAACTAGGATTAACATGGGAATAAGTAAGTTAATGTGTGAGCCTTGTTTGATGACCATCAACAAGAGGTTAATTGAATGTCTAATTTGGTTAACTATATTTGCAAGTCTTGCTTGATACAAACTGAACACTAGGAAGCATGTTAGTTTAACCAACTGATCACTATTTGAATTCACTTGTTTGCTAAAGGATTAGTTATAGTGAACGCGAATCTAATCATTTTAGGAATCGGTGAACATGAATAAATGAATTTGTGTATGCAATTGTCTATGTTTTTAAGGTGTAATTTTTCTAAACCAAAGTACCTGAAGAGATTTGTTTCCCTATTAGTTTATCGAGAGTTGTTAATTAATTATTAGTTTGAGATTTATTAAACTATTTCTTTTATTCTTTTCATGTGACCTGTAACCTATAATCAAATATATTAAATTAATCCACCGTTCCCTGTGATCGACACCCGACTTACCTAAGCTATACTGTAATCTGACTAGGTACACTGCCTATAAGTGCATAGTTAGTCTAAGTTTGTTAGGTTATAAATATTAAAATTAATGGGTAGTTTCATGCACATCAAGTTTTTGACGCTGTTGCCAGGGAACGGTTTGTCATTAATTTAGTTTATTTGATTATTCGTTATTAGTTTTTAGTTAGTTTTTATTTTTAGTTTGATTTTCGATGATATCATTTCACTTTTCGGGAAGGTTCTTGTTTTTATTTGCAGGAATTTGGGATTGTACACATTGCTTGACTTTACTTTTTGCATGGGTTTCGAGAATGAAAGCGATTAGGGAATTCTTGACCTGCTTAGCCTAATACTTTGTTGATTTGTCCAACTCAATCCATGAGGCGTAGTATAGCAAGGCGTATTGTGGTGGTTAAGTGGAAGACCGAGCTCTTGCTGTTCTTGACTAGTTAGGTCACTTCTTGTTCCGCTTTTAGTTAAAGGTGCAAGGAAAACAAAGGAAATATTCTAACGGGTCCCGAAAGCGGGTATTTTCGAAAACCAATTCTTGCATGCAAAGGTTTTTGATCAACCGTTGTTGTTTGATCTCGACAAAGATAAGTGATTATGACGTCTCATTTTCTTTTTTTTTCACTCATCGGAAAGTCATTTGCTGAAGAAATTAAAAATAATAATAATAATTAAGTTTTAAGTCCCTTAATTAAATAATTAAAAGAAAAGGGAGTTAAATTAAAGAAAAAAAAGGAAAAATTTCATTTAGACTTACGCCCTGCGTAAATGTTATTACACCAAGCGTAATTCAACCACTAATCGCGTATAGATTTTCATGGGGATGGGGTTACGCCCCGCGTAACTTCGCGTTACACCCTGCGTAAAGCAGCGATCAGGTATATCTTTTGACCTTTTGACTTCTTCTTTATTCTTTTCACAACTCCTCTCTTCGTACACGAACTGTGACGACAACTCTCTCCAAGATTTTCGATTCTTCTTCCTTTCTTGTCAAATTCGATACACAAGTAAGTTTTTCGGGTACTCAAAATACTGGATTTGGGTTTAAATCGACGAAATTGGCTGCAGAATGCCTTTGCTCGAAATCTAGGCTTTATAGGGTTCTCGAATTAGGAGTCGATTTCACAAATTTGTGTTTGATTATGGCTTAAATAGACTGATTCGGACTAATAGACTAAATCCTAGGACTTAAGTTGGTCTTAATCCCGTCCCACACCCATCAATTTAAACTTGGGAACGGACGCCAAGCGTACCCCTGTTGACTTCGAGTTCTTGACTGCTACACATGATTCCCTATTGAGTATTGTCACTAGACAAAGAGATTACGAAGGATTGATTTTTAAGGGTGGTCCCGATTTTTCTCCTACTGCCTTTGGACCACGCAATGTTAAATTAATTGTGTTGTTGCCCCTGCTGTGTTTATTTGGATATGGATTATGACTTTAGCACAAGTAAAGGAACCAGGACACAGACTTGTGGAACCTGGACGTACGCCCAGCATACTGTCCCTATCCAGCACCAATTTTTTTGGTTTAAAATTTATTAATGCTACCATATTTTGTTTGGTTTTGTGTTTGTGTGTATTTGTGCAGATTATGGCTCGAAGGACGCAAAGGACCAACCCACCTGAGGATGTGACTGACCATCGCTTTTTACAATTTCCGCAAACGTTGAACGATGCTACCCGGCCGCGTTATGTCACCAACTTGAGCTTGATTCTCACCAAGGAAATCGATATAGCACCATCATTCGATTGGGAATTGGCTACTCGGACTGGACTAGCTGCATTGATCCATGGATTTTTGCAATACACGCACTCGGACGCGAGTGGTGTGGACTTGTTTGTGTGTCACGGATGGGCACGTTTGTTCCGGATCCAGGAGCCTGTTTATCGGGAGTTTTTGCTGGAGTTCTACGCTACAGTTTCCTATGATCCTAGGAAGGCACCCGATGACAGGACAGCTTTTGCCTTCAGACTAGGGGGAGTGAGTCGGGAATGCAGCATGATAGAGCTTGCGACTCGAGTGGGTATTTACACAGCCGATGAGACGAGGAGTGTCCACTTCCCGGCATTCCTTGCTGATTGTCTTACGGAGCGGCTAGATGACTATAACGAGAACACTTTTTAGGCCAAGATTACAGGGGCAGTTTATACACCATCTACCGCACGAGGGGGGATGATTCAGTCTACTACCTACCGAATGTTGCACCGGTTGATTTCTATGTCTCTCACGCATCACAAGAACAGTGAGAGAGTGCCTTCAACAGACTTGTATTTCCTATGGGCGCTTGTTACTCCAGGGAGGCACCTGAACCTTCCAGTTTCTTTAGTTGTATATTTGGGACGGAGGGCCAGGGGACTTCGGGGGGACAGCCAGATTTGCGGAGGGCATTTTATCACGCGATTGGCCCAGTCATATCAGTTGCTGACGCGTGAGGTCACGAGATCGATGGTGTTCCACTACATGAGGCCGATGAGTCTTCAGCTGTTAGAGTCGATGCGTGTATTGGAGCTGGGTGGAGATGGTGTCTTGAGAGTACGAGCAGATGATGTGGCGGATGAGGAGGGTGCGGCCGAGCCAAAGCCGAGATGGGTCCAGCGGCGTAGACCTGCTCCTCGGGGAGCGCAGCAGGGACCTGAGCCGGAGATTGATATGCGCTACCTAGCTCAGGGCATTGATCGTCTTGACATGAGGGTCCAGAACCTTAGTGAGTATGTTGCACATGTGGACAGGCAACAGCAGTGGCAAGGGAATGCGTTGAACGCATTCTTTGCCCACCAGGGGTTTCAGTATTCGGTTCCCTACCCACCACCATTTCAGTCACGATATGATGGGGCCGGTACTTCTGGGACACAGCAGCATGATGATGGAGATGATGAGTGATTTAGTTATCCTTTTTATTTTTATTTTTATTTTGTTTTATTTTTAGTTTAGGTAAGTATTTTTATTTGGTGTGTAATTGATCTTTAATTTAGTTTGTTTTACTTTTGTTTTCCATGTTGATGCTCTTTGGTTGTTTAGATCTCTGCAGAATTTTCGCTCTTAGAAAGCTGGCAGTAAGTTTAGCAGCTAGGTCCGACTGTTGCTAGAGAGAGCCGTGTGAGAGTTCGAAGATTTTAGTCAAGACCCAAAATTTGTCATAAGTGTGGGGTACATATTGATTTCGTGAGCGATTATTTCGAAGATTGACATTTTTACGACATTTTGACTCTTATGATATGGATGAGCTGTTCCCACACCATAAAGTTTTATTTCGATGCGAGGAAGAAGTATCATCCCGGCTGCCACGACATGGTTGACACTTTCCTATGTTATGGGGGATTTTTCATCACGAGAAGAGGATGTCATTCTTGACGAGACGACGTGGTCGACACTTTCCCACGTCATGGTTATTATACCTTGCATTTATTTGCGATCTTTTGCACCACATTTTTGAAGACGGCGGTCTTGATTTTATTTTTCGGCAAAGTCAGAAGAAACAGTTCCAGTTTTCAGTTTTTCAGCAATATTTGAAGCAACTTGTAGCAGCCCCATTCGATCTCGCCACAACTACCCAGGGGAGTCTGTTCCTTTTTCTCTTTTTTTTATGTTCTTAATTTGTTTTAGCATACAATGAGGGCATTGTATGAAATAAGTGTGGGGTAGGGGATCGGTAAAAGTAAATTATAAAAATGAAATAATAGTTGGAAATTGCTAGATTTAGGGAAATTTAAAAAATTTAAAAGAAAACTTGAAATAATAGTTTAATTTAGAAAAATCTAGTGATAATTTAAAATTTTGCTAATATTGTATGAGATGATCCGATGAGAACTCAAATGTTTAGTTGAGTCAATATACGTTATAGTGCATTTGTGGCTTCCTTTATTTTAGTGAAATCATGGAAAAAAAACATAACCCCGCTCGGTTTGAAGGATGCAATGTGTTTAGCAGCCTAAACCTGAAATGTATCCAGGAAAATTATTATCATTAACCAATAAAGGTTGAGGTTGAGTGCCTCTGCTTAAGCATGTAGGTTTTGAGTAAAAAAAGAGAGGTACATGTAAAAAAAAAAACCAGAGAGAGAGAGAGAGAGAGAGAGAGAATTACGAGTAAAGTTTGAAAAATTTTGGAGCAAATAAAATGAAGATCAAAAGATCAAAATTCCAAGAAATTCAAAAAGTTGAAGATACCAAGAAATCAAATCAAATAAGGTGGTGAATTCAAAGAAATCAAAGATCAAATTGTCAAGAAAGTGAAGAATTCCTAAAAAGCTCCATAGTGGTATCATAAATTGTAATTCTAGATTATGTATGCTTAGGTTGCTCAACTAAAAATACCTTGAGGTTACGAGGTTTTCTGTGGATGGATTCGGAAGGTTGCATAAAATGAGCATTGTTCGGAAAAAGTGGGCAAGTGTTTATGAAGATTGTGAGTATTTAAAGTATGGGGGGGTACTTTAGGAAAATTTTAGACACAAATGCATGCGTTGAGGTCTTGGCATAATGGCTAAGTTTTAAATGGATTGTTTAGTGCAATATTGGTAAAATAAAAGTAAATTTGCTTGGGGGCAAGCAAAGGCTAAGTGTGGGGTATTTTGATATGTGTATTTTTATATATATTTTTATACACTTTATCTTAATATTTTGGCCTTATTTATTCTATTTTGAAACTAAAAAGTACTCATAATGCTTTGAATTATGTTTTGCAACTATTCGTTGTCGATAAAGCACAAAAGAAAAAATTGAAGCGGAAAACGGACTTAGGAGTTAAAAGAAAGTAAAAATACTGAAGGAGTGGATTACGCCCCGCGTAACTTCGCATTACGCCCAGCGTAGTGCCCAAAATCACAGTACGCCTCGCATAATTAAAGGGTACGCACCGCGTACTGGTTGGCCTTGGATAACTTCAATCGCGTGTAAATCTTGACTACGCCCCGCGTAATCCTATGCACGCCCAGCGTACTTAAGTCGGCTACAAAGGCTATAAAAGTCGATTTTCAGCTAACCAGGAGGGGGGGATTCGACTTCTAACCTAATTTAGTTGATAATTAACTTCTGTTAAGCCGTTTTGAGGGCCTAGAAGGCAGCCGGAAGGCCGTTAAGCTAACGGGAGCGGAGATCAGAAGGGTTGGAGAGCGGATACGTGTCGGTAATCATATGGGCTGTTAACGTGACCATGTTTAGCATTCCATTGTGTTGCTATTCTATATTCAGTTTCTAACTTAGGTGTAAAAACCTTTTACTTTGTGTTTATGATTGAATGAAGCTTTGATTATTAGACTAATTGCTATATTGAATAGTTTGTTTGTGTTTAATTTATCTTGCCAAGCTTGTTAAAAGATCCTTACGTATTAATGATAATTATTTGCTGTTAATTGTTAAGTGAATTGAGTTGTATGAACAAATGCTTGATTGCTTGTCTCTTATGATTTTGATGACCATCGAGATTATAAGTCTAAGAATAACGAATGTGAAACTAGGATTAACATGGGAATAAGTAAGTTAACGTGTGAGCCTTGTTTGATGACCATCAACAAGAGGTTAATTGAATGTCTAATTTGGTTAACTATATTTGCAAGTCTTGCTTGATACGAACTGAACACTAGGAAGCATGTTAGTTTAACCAACTGATCACTGTTTGAATTGACTTGTTTGCTAAAGGATTAGTTATAGTGAACGCGAATCTAATCATATTAGGAATCAGTGAACATGAATAAATGAATTTGTGTATGCAATTGTCTATGTTTTTAAGGTGTATTTGTCTAAACCAAAGTACCTGAAAAGATTTGTTTCCCTGTTAGTTTATCGAGAGTTGTTAATTAATTATTAGTTTGAGATTTATTAAACTATTTCTTTTATTCTTTTCATGGGACCTGTAACCTATAATCAAATATATTAAATTAATCCACTGTTCCCTGTGATCGACACCCGACTTACCTAAGTTATACTGTAATCTGACTAGGTACACTGCCTATAAGTGCATAGTTAGTCTAAGTTTGTCAGGTTATAAATATTAAAATTAATGGGTACTTTCGTGCACATCAAGGATCCCAGGTCTGTACTGCCAGAATGGCAGAATAGATTAAGCAGTTATAGGTAGCCAAAGTTCTCTGAAAGTCGTTGGGAGCGACAAGAAGTTTGTGTCGGGGATAGCTACCGGCGGGAGCCGGTAATCCATATATTAGGGACCAGGGTGGTCTCGGTTCATCCGGAAGGCAGTTAAGGGACGGCAGAAATTTTCAGTCAGTAGCAGTGCTGGTAAGCAATTTATGGTGGACTTCAGTTAGTTGATCAAGGGGTGCTCAACACTAAGTTATAGTAGTAGAAAGTGTCCAGTGGATACAGGCGGTAACGACCCGTACTGGAAGTAGCGGGGGTAATGGAGTTGGTGAACGATAGGATCTTGACGGTGACGGAGGAAGTAGTTAGTCATGGAACGTTGCCTCGGGGAGTTCCAAAAGGGAGTCAGTTGGGTAAGTTGTGTTCCGAGAATGTTCAGGGTTAGGATTGACCCGAGATAATTATCCGCAAGGATTATGTCATCCAGGTGACCGGGCGGAAGGGCAGCAGAGGTAGTCCTCAAGGATTAGGGTGTTAGTTTTCCCAGACAGAGAGTTGGAGGCAGTTCGCAGGACAGCTGGCCATAGCAAATTTCGAGGATGAAGTTTAGTTTAAGTGGGGGAGAGTTGTAACACCCAAAATCAGAAAGGTCAAGAAAGGAAAGAAAAACTAAGTCAAAGGGGTCAACTTGTCGAGTCCAAGGAGGAACTCGACGAGTCGGAGCGGGATCCGGGGGATCAATTAAGTAACCGACTCGGTGAGTCGGCAAAGGGGACTCGGCGAGTCTGGTCTGAACGAGGAAAACCCTAAATCCAGGACTTGGAGCCTATTTAAACGTCTCATTCTCTTCCCTAGGGTTCCTTTACTGCCTCTCTAACCCATAACACCAAACCCTAGCCACCATATCTGATTTTTGGGTTAATTCTTGCCTTGAAGAGTGTATTAAATCTTGGAGAAGGAAGAAGGATCTTGGAGGTGCGAGAAGGGGCTATAGATCCGGGATTAGGAAGACATTTCAGAGCATTTAGAGCTAATAAACTAGTACTTGGACGCCTTTGCATCTAGATCTATCTTGGTTATGAGTTTTAG